TTTTTTTATATTATTTATTTTATATAGATCTGCAATATATTTGCATGTACACGTATACATGTATATAACTTCGTGAATTAACCTAAACCTGAAGGGATAGTTAGTTAACTTCCTTACTTAATAACTAGTTAATTTACGAACAATTTGAACTTAAAATGTATTATTTACTTTTTTTTAAATCTCCTTAATACATACCTTAATACTTACCTCTAATTATTTCTTACCTTTTAATTTAATTCCTCTGATATAATTTTATTAAAATTCTAATACATTTATTCCAATTCTTTTTGCTTACACTTTCATATATTTAAGATTACATGTAGTTCATATGTACATACATAACATCATGCTAAGTATCTATGTATGTACATAATTACCATGTACCTAATACCATGTGGTGAGCACACAAAACTAACCTTATTTGACAATGTCATAGTAGTTCTACTTTTCACTAGTTTTCTTTGTTGGCTCTCACTCTCCAGCGAATAATTTCTACTACCTAAAGTTATTAGTAGGTGAGAGATTAACTTAACTTCAATTTGCAAACTCTTAATTTTTGTTTTTTGTGTTTTTGTATTCATGCGCATTACAGTTGCGGTCATAAAATTAGTACCCCTTCGAAGAACACAACAAATTTTTTTTTGGTATTTTTCTGGAATTAAAATAATTTTGTTCATATATTTACATATATTTATTTATTTATTTATTCAAGTCTATGAAATACAGGTTTCTTATAGACTAAGAGCTATATGTAACAAACAACGTAAAAACTTAACAATATATTACAAAACTGTATTCAATATGTTAATAAGTTCATACTTAGATATTGAGAAATCAAACGAAACAGAGTTCGAGATCCTGTTAAGTTCATTGATAGCTCGAGCGATGGGAGCATTTCGAGCATAATCAGTTCTAAGAATTTGTTCATAGAAGGGTACAACAATACGCAGAGACCTCCGCGGGATGTTAAAATTAATCCGAGCGAGAAGAGATGTACAATCAATGTCACCACTAATAATATTGAAAAAGAAAGATAATGAAAGAATTACTCGCCTTATCTCCAGCGTTTTCAAATTTATTAGAAGTAACCGCGAATTATAAGTAGGCATCGGCTCAGAGAAGTTTAATGAGCGTAGCGCAAACCTAAGAAATATTTTTTGGACCCTTTCAATTCTATTTACTGCGGAAATATTTTAGGGTCTCCATATTATAGCACCGTATTCCAAGTTTGACCGAACAAAGGCTGTATAAAGTAATTTAAGAGTATAAGGATCCGAAAATTTCGCACAATTACGCCTAATAAAGCCCAAAAGTGAGTACGCTTTAGCGATAATAAAGCTTATGTGGCTATTAAAAGAAAAGTTCGAGGTAAAGAAGATACCAAGATCCTTAGTTTCTTCTAAAGAATCTAAAACAGAGTCATCAATCATATAGGTGGAAGGCAAAACATTTTGTATCTTCGCGTACGTTATTTTGAAGCACTTTTTTTATACCCGAGCGCACTTGTGCACAAGGGTATTATAACTTTGTTCACATAACGGTTGTTTGTAACAGGCAAAACGAATCGAGATAGATATAGACAAATGTATACATAAATGATCAGAATGAAAAGAGAAATCGATTAAGCGGTGACTGTCTGTCCGTCCGTCCGTCCGTCCGTCTGTGCACACGATAACTCGAGTAAAAATTGAGATATCTTAATGAAACTTGGTACGTGAACTTCTTTTGGGTGTAGGACGGATGGTATTGAAAATGGGCGAAATCGGACAATAACCACGCCTACGTCCCATATAACGGTAATTTTCAGAAATACGAAAACTGCGATATTTTAGTAACTACTGAAGATTATTCACTCAAAATTGATATTTACAATGAGTTTTAGACGAAAAATAATAATATTTTAAAATTTTGGCAAATGGGCGTAGCCACGCCCACTTATGGTTACATGTGTATATCTTGGTAACCGCTGCACCAATTTCTTCCAAACTCGGCACAGTTGTTGGCCTTGATACATCATACTAAATGGCCGAAAATTTAAAAAATCGGACAATAACCACGCCTACCTCCCATATAACGGTAATTTTCAGAAATGCGAAAACTGCGATATTTTAGTAACTACTGAAGATTATTCACTCTAAATTGATATTTACAATGAGTTTTAGACGAAAAATAAGAATATTTTAAAATTTTGCAAATGGGCGTAGCCACGCCCACTTATGGTTACATGTGTATATCTTGGTAACCGCTGCACAAATTTCTTCCAAACTTGGCACAGTTGTTGGTCCTGGCACAGCATACCAAATGGCCGAAACTTTTTAAAATCGGACAGAAACCACGCCCACATTCCATATAACGGTAATTTCGAGAAATACAAAATCTTCGATAAATCAGTAAATATCAAAGCTAATTTATTCAAAATGGATGGTTGCAACAATTCTTTACCAAGAAATACGTTTATGATAAAATTTTGGAAAATGGGCGGGGCACCGCCCACTTGTGATTACATATATGTATCTCGCTAACCGTTCTAGCAATTTGTACCAAACTCGGTATGGTTATTGTGCTTGCCACATAAAAGCAAACCGTGGAAAATTGTTGAAATCGGTCTTAAATTACGGCCGCTTTTCAAATAACAATAAATTTCAGAAATGCTTGAAATTTCAATATGTCGAAATTTAAGGACGTTAATTTACTTAAAATGTATACACCCCGGCTTATCATGTAGCGGTAGCTTTCGGCAAGGTGGAAAACATATCTTTAATACTTGCGCCGGGTATTTAATGTTCGGCTCCGCCCGAACTTAGACTTTCTTACTTGTTATATTTAAGGAGAGGTGAGAGTTTAAGCACCAGACCTGGAGATTATCAATATCTGCCTGAACCTTATTAATGTCATCACGATTTTGAATATTAGAATATATTTTTAGATCGTCAGCATATAATAGGTATTTAGCGAAAGAGAAGCAACTGCTTATGTCATTTATGAATAACACAAAGAGCAGTGGACCTAAAATGCTTCCTTGAGGAACGCCTGAACACGCTATAAAAGGTCGTGAGTTGGTGTTGTCAACAGTGACCACACATTGCCTATTAGATAGATAAGATTTTATCCACTTTAAAAAAACAGAGTGAAATCCCAGGTGTTCAAGCTTACTAATTAGCACCACGTGTGATACTTTATCGAAAGCCTTGGAAAAGTCAGTGTATACGCAATCAACTTGAAGACCAAGTTGGAAAGACTCGAAGCAGTATTCACTAAATTCAGTCAAATTAGTAATTGTAGATCGATTTGGAATAAAGCCATGCTGAAATGGTGTTATTAGACTTTTGGTTGCAAAATATATTTTCTCTTTTACAATAACCTCAAAAAGCTTTGAGATGGTGGACAGCTTTGAAATCGGACGATAGTTACAAACATTATTCTTATTTCCACTTTTGAAAGTAGGAGTAATGCACGTAATTTTCCAATCTTCCACAAAATAGCCTGAAGCCAGAGACATATTAAAAATAATTGTAAGTGGTAAAATTAACGCTGGCGCATTTTTGAGCAAAAAAACCGAAATACCATCAATATCAGTTTTTTCTGAAGGCTTAAGACCCATTATTCCGTTTAAAACATCCGCAGATGAAAGTCTGAGAGATCCAAAATTTACGGAAGAAACATTGTCTCCAGAACCAGCCACAAATTCGGAGTTACTATCATCCAATATAAAATTAGAGCTAAAAAACTTCGCGAATAAATTTGCTGAATCAGTTAAGTTACTAGCATATTCGTTCTCCAAGAATATAGCAGATGGAATACTGGAGATAGATTTTTTTGATTTGATGAAACTCCAGAATGATTTGGGGCTGGCATTTATACCTGACTCAACATTAAGTATATAATTTCTATAAAGAAATTTATCCAAACAGTTAAATTCCTTCATGTATTTCTGGTATGATGCATAAAATATAAAGTTACCAGTAGCCTTGTACCTTTTAAAGAATTTGTTCCTCAGATTCTTCAACTTCTTCAGGCGACGATTGTACCATGGAAGTTTATATGTTTTTTTCCTGACAATGGGAACCCATTTTAGACATACTTCAGATAATATGTCTTTAAAGATACAAAAACTAGCTGAGACATCAGAGGTAGAAAATAAATCCTCCCAATTAAGCTCAGATAAACATAAGTTTAATTCAGAAAAATTACCGGCTTTAAAATTGATACGTACATCTTCAACAGAGGCATTTGATGCAAACTTATAAAACTCAAAATTAATAGTAAGAGGAACGTGGTGCAAGTTAGATGGCAATAAAGGAAAATGACATTCTTCAATTGAGGTGTTTATATTGTCACTGACGAAAACAAGATCAAGAATTCTGCCAAGCCTGTTTACATATTTATTAATTTGCACTAAGTTAACGCTCAAAATATTGTCTACAAGATAAGACTCATGCCACTTACTAATATTTATGGGCATAAGGCCAGAGTTTGATATAGGAGACCAGCCTACATTAGATAAGTTAAAGTCACCTAATACACAAACATGATTATCAGCTACCTTACTTAGAATTAAAGAGGTCACATTATCAGTGTGTGCACTATAAATGTAATCCGCGCTATTGGGTGGAATGTATGAAGCAATAACAAACAGCGAGCTTGGCGAAGAAGCTCCCTTAATGCTAACACATAGCTGGTCCATAAGCGAATCATAATTATCAAGCGCAACCAAGTGAGAATGAAATTTTCTTTGAACAGCAATGAGAACGCCCCCACCTCTATCGCAGCCGGTTTTCAGGGAGTCTCTATCTTTGCGGTAAACGTTATACAAATTGGAGTCAAAATACTCACTATCAAAGAAATTAATTGTAAGCCAGGTTTCAACAAACACAATGACATCAAAATCCAAACGAGAACT